AATACTTAGATTGCAACGATTTTTGTTTCTCGTATTAATTCACAAGCTTAATCCCCGTCAATTTAACGATTTTTTCCCCAGTTTTAAACATCAATTTCAGAAACTATAATTCGATGCTTAATCGAACTTTACGTCGTTAAATTGCACGATGGCCATATGCAGTTTCCAATGAATTATGCAACAAGACTAAAATCTAGCTCGTTGTATAAATTCGTGGCAATATCGAAGACAGTAAATTATAGTGGCAGTAGTAAGTAAAATAATATTGTCCTTGGACGGAAGAGTTACGCGATACACGCGTTATTAGAATATCTTGCTCGACGGAACCGGAGAATTAATCTCGCGGGTTCGACGAGGTTTCTACCTCTGCTTGTAGATCGTTCCGACGGAGTTACAGGACAATGCAAAAATTCACGCTTGTCGGAAGAGTTTCTATTTACGAGTACGCAGGGGAAACGTGCGTGCGAAGCTGGGTTAACGTAACGAGCGCGATTATTATCGTTTCCTTTTTCAATACGTAACTTGCAAAACGTACGGGGGCACCACGTATATATTTCTAGTCGATGCTTTCGAAACCGCGCTTACATAGACGTCCACAGATAAAACGCACGGCTTTCTCCTGTGTTTTTCCAGAGAATACAAACGAGGGGAACAATAGGCAGCGGCCCTGTCCTAGTCGATTTCAGTATCTGTGACCCGATTATTCGACGTACCCCGTTATTGACCCGTTACCCACGGATTTCTGTACCAAGTCGTTAATCGATATTTACCACTATTTTATCTTTTTTAAATTCATCGCCGTGCGAATAAGCGACTCTCGCCGATTCAAAGGTGACCGGTTTTCGCGGCTGCGATATTTTAAAATACGGCTCAGAGCCGCCCAGAGGTTTTCACGATTTACTTAAGGGGGATAGTTGTTTTTCCCCCCCGGCGACTGAAACCCAAGCTGAAATGTAAATTCAAGAGATTGTGGTCGAACAATACAACAATCCAGTTCGCGTGAGAATGTGTATTTTTCTGGTCCAAGTTGAAGTAGCATTATGGAGACGAAAAAATTAGTTTTGCTCTGAGAAAACGGGGAATATCGTGATGATAATTAATCAAATGAGAGAGAGAAGGTTAAGAATTTTTTGTTATGGTGAAAGATTAAATTTTTGCCCTATTAAGCTGGATTAAATTATAATTTTGTAGAGTAAAACTGTATTTAATGAATGGTGTTTTATACTTGGAAAATATTAAAACTGATAATAAATGAATTTCATATCGTATAGTCTTTAATACCAGTTAGTTTAACTCCATTCTTGCGTTTATTTCGTACAGATTTTCTCTCAAATATTATAAATCAATACAGCTTAATATAAAGTAAAAAGTCTATTCATTTCTTATATTTTTAACATCCATAATCAGTATTTATATTATTAATTTCGAGTAAACTTTTCCAATATTGCTAGTTAGTAAAAAAATACATCTTTATTTTCGAAAGAATATCTCCGTTTCAAATTGAATTAGCTCTGAACATCAACGTTTTCTGTAATCGTCGCATGGTCATTAATTTCATGAATTAGAATGATTTAGAAATTTGCAAATTTAACAAAATATAGCGACGTTTTAAAGAAACACTCCACTTTGAAGAAAACCTTGAAAAGGTAAAAGTATTATTACAATTCTAGTTATCTCTAAAGATGAAATCGAATAAGTGTCCAAATTAGTCCTCACAGTAATTTTGAAAAATGTTGTTTCGAGAAAACTGCGTTTACAATTCGACCAGCATCTATTCGAACCGTATATTTCATGCTCCATTTATGCATCGTACACTTCAGACCTTCGTAATTTTCACGAGTTTTCGAACTCAATAGAAATCAAATAATGCCTCAAACTATTGATGTGTAGAGGGAAAACTTGAACTATCGATGTGTAGAGGAAAAATTTGTTCGATGTTTTAACCGAAAAAACGATTACTCTTTTAAAGAGATTTCGTCATATCTCGAGTTAAAAAATCTTGTATTATATTTAGAATTTTTTTTTTTTGTTAAATCTGATATATTGAACTAAAATTTTGTGTTTAATATTCATACGAAGAATAATTAATTATATCTTCACACTGTACCAAAAACACCAAAAATTTAATTCCAAATAGAGAAATTTCAAATATTAATGTTAGAAATATTAGAAATCGTGTTTTAAGCCCATTTTTTAACATTGTAAATTCATTACACTATTCATCGAAATTTCTTCGCAAGATTTTCACACGGTGATGAGAATTCGAGCTTTAAGGAATGAAAATATGTATTTTATTCGCTGCATAAAATGGTTCAGGCTGAAATTTCATCGAGTATATTTGAATATTTGTTTTCCAAATATTATCCACCCGCATTATGTAACGTTGCCTTGCAATTTTGTTGCATGTTGTGAGCTGAGTGATTGTGACAAGAAAGCACGACAGAGTATATATCTTCGTTAAAACGAAGTTGCTGCAAATTTATTACCCGATACTTTTACTGGATTATTATGCTCGGGAATATATGTCGTTACAAAATGTCCACGAGTCATAGAAGTAGAAACGTAATCATGAAATTACATACATTTCACTTTCAAACACTTCGCCCTTAATTAAACCAACAATTGTTACAAAATGCTAATACGTTAATGGGTTAATAAATGTCGTTGTTACCGTGATGTGTAGATTGCTTGATATTTATGTAATTAATGCACGAGGGATCCCGGTAATTATGCTGGAAATTCTACGCGAACAAACAACTTGAAAATGTAGAACAAAATTTGCACGAAACCTTGTTTTTGAAAAAATCTACATTGAAAATTCATCGATTACGTGTAGAGTGGAGTACGATTTGAACATCGGCACGATTGAAAAGACACGTCATGCGATATCGTTTTCCATTGTACGCGTATTTTAAAATTCAATTAACTTTGAAATTCGAAACGGAACATCGTAGGTATTATATTCTACATTTTCGAGTTATTTTTTCACGTAGAATCATCCCCTTTCCGGTTGTATCATGATTGGTATTTTAAACTATTGTGAACTACGTAGTCTAAAATTTGTTTCTAATTTTTTTGACCGCATCCGAATAACTATAATAGAAAGTGTTGAAATTTTTCGGTTTAAAAAAAAATTTCAAATCGTTCTGGAAAAATTATTTTCGTCTGTGGGGGTCTATTACAATCATTTTTGGTGAATACGCATACCCTCGAAATCCTAACCAATTTCAAGAAAAAAATTCTTTGCTGCAAATATAATGTCAGGCCAGAAATGGTTCTCCGAAATTTCATGGTAATCGTTAAAACATCATAACTCCTGAACGGATTGGAGGATTTTAATGTTTCAAAAAGCAAATAACGCGTATTTTAGTGGAGAATATGTAGAGATTATGAAAATGTTGGAAAAGTTGTTCCTTGACCCCGTAAAGTGAGAAAAACTCCATAAAACTGGCCCAATTTTCAAACGGCCATAACTCCTATAATAGTGAATATATTTCAATGAAATTTTTTTCTGAAGTAGAGTTCATGGGTACCTACAAAAAAGTATTAGACAACTTTTCTGTAGAGCGTCAAACAAATTGATTAAAAATGAAAACGAATTTTTAAGAAAAATCGGTGCTGAAATTTTTCGACGAAAAAAAAAATTTGAAATCGTTCTGAAAAAAATATTTTCGTTTGTGAGGATCAATTACAATCATTTTTGGTGAATAGACATATCCCCGAAATCCTACGCACTGTTAAAAAAAAAATTCATTACCGCAAATATAATGTGTGGTTAGAGATCTGTGATTATATTCCTCGTTTTTATCACTTCGTATGTAGATACCGTGTAATTATCCGGCATATAAAATTTTAATGGAAGATTTTAGAGGCAAAAATCAAGAATACCAATTTGTTGATTGGGGCTTCGTTAAAAAGTTATTAACATTTAAAATTCCGCCTGTAGTAGTGGTTCTCACTCAGCATGAGAAACTCTATTTACTGACGTATCGACATCCTTCCAGTTTTTCGAGTGAGATCCACTAGCAGCTGTTCGCAGATTGCCGTTCTAAATCGGTCGAGTAGATCTTGAGATATCATGGAAGCCAATTCAGAAATGATAGTTTCGAGTAAAAAGCATCTAAACAGAAGGATCAGATCGTTCAAGCCGGTATAACTCGACCGAACAATACCTTCGTTAATTTTAGAAGTCCAATGATATACTTTTGCACATATATTTCTAAGACTATATCCTTTAAGAAAATGCAAACAAAAAAAAAATTTTTTTTTTACGGTTTACAGCAAAAGACCCCCTTAACCACTTTAGTCAATCAAACTAACCCATCGAATGCCAACTACGAGATATATCATAGTGTTTTCTCTTCAATAAAAATGACTGTAAATGCCATTTCAATACTAAATCTGTAACTTAGTATTATAATATTTTGGAGAATTTCATATTTTCCTTAAAATAAACTCTTGGCTTCCAGGGCAAGACGCTATAAATTTGCCTGGCAGTCATGGGGTTAAACGTGCACTGTTGTATCCGTCCGTTTCTTACCCTTCCCGCTTTCCCGCCAAAAAATGATACGTACAGTAGTTACGGGATAGTCGCGGGAAGCGTACGCGCAGCAGCTGGAACGTCGATTCGTGCATTAGTGGAAGCGCTAGTGAAGGAGTAGTAGGAGGGGGGTGGCGTTGAGGGAGAAAGAGGAGGACGAGGAGGAGGAGAAGAAGGAGAAGGAGGTGGAGGAGGAGGAGGAGGAGTAGAGGAAAACCGGAGAAAGCAAGAAAACGGTTAAGGTAGCGGATAGCGGCCGCCGTCGTTGGTGGTGGATGCGATGGGAGGATGGAACAGCGGCGGCGGTAGTAGCGACGGTGGAAGCGGCGCAAAGCAGACAGTGAGTGCCATCGGCGAATGGTGGGGAATCGGAGGGGGTTGTGGAGGGGAAGGTGGGGGAGGGAACGAGTGGCAGTACAGCGGCTCGTTTAGCACGCAGGATCAGCTTGGGGGAGAGCCTCGCTCCGTCGCTTTTACCTCGCGCTGGCTAGTAGCTCTGCCGCATTCGTACGTGATACGAAAGAGACACGCGTCCACGACACAATTGCGTATAACAGCCTCCTAGAAACCGTTCTTGAGTCGTCTATGTGGGTGTGTTCCTCCTTCTCAGCGTTTCTTTTTCCGCGTATTTTCCTACCCCGATCACTCCGCACCCCTCCCCGTTCGCGGTTCGCCCTTCGATCCCTACGATTTTCAAACGCTCGTCCGCATCGTGCTTCTACATTCTTCCTCCCCCCTTGGTCGGCCCTGTTTTCTCTCTCTTTTTCTCTGTCTTCTCAAGATCCGATACAGCCACAGGGTCTCTCTCTCCTTTTCTTCGTTCTACGAACGTCCATCGATCTCTTCGGCGCGCGTGAACACACACGGCTCCCGGCCCGAAAGACCCGCGGACACGAACGCGAAAAAGGAGACGAAGGGGTTGCCCTGCCGTGTGCGTTCCCCGTCGTCGTCGTCGCCTCGAGTCACCGCCGAGTACGCACGCTCGTTGACGAGGAACAGAGAAGTGAAATCGCCAGGCGTCGTCTTTAGCGACGTTAACGTTCCTCTCGCGAACGGTCTTCGGAAGAGAGAGAAGAGAGAGGGAGCGTCAACCGACGAGAGAAAGAGCTTACACGCAGAGTGTGCCTAAGCCGCGGCGTATCACGGTTTTAGAAGCTTAAAGAGCCCACGGATACCAGCGGATCTCGGTGGGCGTTCGGGCGCGGGGCTAATTGGTGGTGGGACATTTGTTCCGGCGACAGGGGACGGAGTGAACGAACCGAGAAAATTACTCGCGGGTGGTAAGAAGAGCCTGGAAAAGAGAGAGATTAAAAGAGAAGTCTTTTCTCGAGCGTGTTGTTCATCGTTCGGTTAAGAATCTTTTCTTTCTCCCCGGTTTAACGATTCGCCCGCGGCTTGCCAGCGATACTCTTCTAAGCTCTATTTCTTGTCCCAAAACGCGATTGACGTCGTCGCGTGTTCCCCCCGCACCGTACATACACGCCACATATATGTAATATGGTCTCTGTTACGAGAATATTGTAATCGCGTTTTTTAGTTCGGCGTACAAAGGACGCGTGGGTGCATTACGCTGCCTGGACCATCGATGAATTGTGCGTGCACCTAAAGGATAGACGGGGAGAGTGTAGATCAAGTGTTTACGCAGCTAAGTTTGCTCGTGTGTTGTGAAACGAAGAAGGTGGATGTCTTCGGAAATAGCGGGGAAATTCTGCGAGCGGATTTCTACTGGCTGGGTCACGTCGGTCCGACTACTGAACTTTCGACGAGTCAGTTCGACCTCGCGCTCCAGTGCACGCGTTTAAGTACCCAGTTTTAAAGGGGTTACTACGTGTGATTTTTCGAAAGGTTTCAAAGTGACACCACGGAACAGAGACCGCTATTTACAACACGAAGCAACGTCGTTAAAGCGTGGCCTCGTCGCGTCCTAGGATTCGCTACGTTGATCAGCCGGTAAGACGAATTTTAGTGCTTCGCCAACCCGACGGCCTGTGGTATTTTGTCTCTGATTTTTTTTAGAATATTGACTATTTTCAGAATAGAATTATTATTGAAATCTACAGTAAATTTTTTAGTATCATTTTCTAGGAAAAATTGGAGAATTTAATGAAAATGATTAAAATCTGTATTCCTTTACTAGTATTTTAGGGAGTAAAAATTTGTAAAGCATTGGAAAATTGGAAAAGTTGGTAAAATTGATGTATTAAAATCTGCATTCCCTTATTAGTATTTTAAGAAATTTGCAAAACATAGACTTGAGTTTCTTGACTTCTTTTATATTATTATTAATTTATTAACCCGGAAAAAACCCCTTTAGTAGACAGAGAAGTGATATATAAGAAGAAACAAATTTATATAATTTTGTTAAATAATTCATATTTACTTGCAAGGATATTTTTGAATTCTCAAGGATTGTCCAATTATATCTATTTTTATGAGTACAATCATTCTATTTATACAATTTTTAAATAACAAATTACAAAGAAACGGCTCTGTTCAGTAATATTTCGCGAAAGTCTTCTCGAGCAACATCGGTTTATTTATTAAAATGTTTGGTATTAACTTGCTGACAATATCTTATGTAAATACTTGATACAAATGTGAAAAACCTACATTAAATACTGTTCACTTTCTTGTGTGCATATCTGTATTATTTTATTTCATTTGACTAAGAAATATTTTTTCCCCTTTTTTATGTATGATTTTTTTTATAATTTCTATTAATTTGTACGATACACATCGTTTACCAAACTCATGTTCTAAAAATTAGCGTATCTTATCACAACTTTTTTACGTTCTTAGTTAATCATTATTATTGAAAAGCACCTGAAACAAATTGCTGCAAATATCTCAATAAATAAATCGGAGAAGTTGGGAAAGATATTCTCGATTTTTCAAATTATTTTTATTCAGTATTTAACATTCTCGATGTTCTCAGAATATAATGTAACAGATTTGTGTTTTTTTTTTCTTATTATAAGCCTCCAAAAAAATAATATAAGATTCAATATAAACAGTTGCAAGTATCTCAATAAATTCTCCATTTTTGGAATTATTTTTATTTAATATTTACCATTTTTCATATTCTCAGAACATAATGAAACAGATTCGTATTTTTACCGGATATAAGCATTGCAACAAAATAAAAAAATATTCTTTCCCCCCACAAAAATGTATAAATACATACCTATAATATAAATTTTATTCATATATTTCCTCTAAATTCAAATTGTGTTATCATAAATGCAATTAGAATCTAGCTATGGTACGTATTATGTTTGTCGCCATAAATGAAGCGCAAAGGGTTGAAAATGAGCACTAAGAATACAAAAATTAATTGCATTTTGAACCACAAAATAATCTTACAAAATACAGTATAAGAACATAAATATATTTAATTTAATTCTACAAACTAGTACAAGAGATAAAACCAAAAAAATTATTACAATATATAAATAATAAAGTCCAATACTTTTACCAATTTTTCCAATCTATAATCTAAATAACATTTTAAATATTGTAATTTAAAATTCGTTACGTTTAAATTCTATTTCAAATTTCTATTAAAATAAATTCTCCAAAGACAAATTGTAACTGCTACAAAATGCAGCAGGCTCGAAGTTCGTATTATCGTTGGCAAAACACGAGTAAGAAAATTCCTTGTTAGCTTTAATAAGTCATTTAGAAGGATTCGATATTCCGATGTATTGTATATTCCGGTAGCGATGCCACGAAATTTTGAAGTGCCTGCATAATTCATGGCGGCTCTCTATTTCCCTCTCGTCCATCATTTCGAATCTCTTTACCACCCTCCCGTCCCTAATCTCCTTTCGCTTCGGCGGTAGCTTCTTCGAAATCAACGTAATAAGAAAAGGAGGACTATTTCTTGTCGATGTAATTGCACATTTAAGCAATTATTACGGTTCCAATTGAACAATCGATCCAACTCTGTCCGAATCGGATGAACGTGGCTACCGCGATTTTAATGGGAATTATTATATAGCGTCGAATCCCATCGGGCAAAAATTCATTTTCGATAATTTAATGCAGCTGCATCGAGATTGGCTTACCGAGAAGAAAATTGTTGGAATAAATTGCTTGACATTCGACGACTGTTCTTATTACAAGCGTATCGATTCAACTTACGATCGGAGCGAAACGTTTCAAGCAGTTTACCTTATTCTTCCTTTTTAACTCGGCGTCGGTGAACATTCCAACATTACGAAGACGAGTTTAATATAAGCAAATATTAGTCTTTTTTACTTCAAGATCCATCGGAGATTTTTGTTTTTCCCCGAACATATGATTTATATTTAAAACCACAAGCTTCTCTAATTTATATTTATACTGTCTTTATTTTTAGACGCAAAATTTCCGTCTCGTTTCGAGATAGTGATTCACTCACGGAACAACATTTCAATAACGATTGTAGTTTTCAGAATTTTTTAATATGCGTATTTTTAAAATCGAATTATTTAAGAACGTAAATTGTTTGCAGTACACAAATTCTAGCTTAATATATAATCTCTTCCAAAATTATCGAGATACCGAAATATTTCGAAAAACGTATTTTTCTTCGGGAACCGAAATAGAAATTTCTCAGGAGAATCACGAGAATTCTCGGGGGCGCAATCATCGATAAACAGCGGTGAATTACAGGTTGTAAATCATTGTTGCTCTGCATATCCTCCGACGAAATTCGCGCGTGTTTTCTGCGGCGTGTACTTTTGTTTATCATTGTTTACCATGCAAATCGTCGCGTGATTATGCATAATGATACCTTTTACGAAAGAGTGCCAACGAAAATACATGTTTTCTCGGCGAACCAGCAATTTCAGCTCGATATTTTGATTGTACGCGAATCGCACGGGTTTATTAACTTTGTCGATTTTTATCAGACGTTTCGTTAGGGTCGTAACCGTAACGGAGTCTTTGAAATTGTTGCAACGATGCCCGGAACAAAAGCTGTTAAGCTGAAATTACCGTGTCGTAATAGTATCGGTAAATCAATAGCAGGAGAAAATTAGAATTTAGTGCAGCCTTGAGCCCCAGGAGTCGATTTGAAAACATTCGTTCGGATAGACCTGCGTGAGCATCGAGTTACTCTGCCTCACCCTTGACATTCTGACCAGTTATTCCTCCCAGGATAATGTATCTTCGATACAAATCATTTTGTCAGTGGCCAGTCGATTCTAAATCAATCGAGAAGCAAAGTTCGTTTCGCTTGATTTACAAAAGGAAATATTTCTTTTTAGTATCTTGGTGGGAAATTCAATCGTAGCTGTTTATTCAGTCACGATTGGAAGCCTTCGATAATAATAAAAATGTCCTTATTTTAAATCGAGGAAATATAATTTTCATTTCGAATTGAATCGTAGGAAAAACATTTGTAATTAAATTATGTAACTTGCAAGAAGACAAAGTATCATTATTATTCATTTATTAACGAGAAAGACACTTTAGCGTAAAAATAAAATAGAAATTATACAGAGAAAATATCCCTTATAAAATTTTTTTGTATCGAACAATTAATTTTTTATTAGTTCAGCGACTGCACTTCGATCGAGAAAAAAGTCACGTGAGTGTTTTGCTGGCGTTAAACGTCTCTTTACTTTTCGACATGCTGACTCAGGAGGCTTTTATAGTGTGCTAATAAGTGCATAGTGAGTTACTCGTAATGTACACAATAGCTCGTGCGTTAGGCTCTGTTTTCGTACTAGTTATAAAGCAATATTTGTCGATTGGGATCTGCCAGATCCCCCCGCCCCCACCAGACTACTCCCAGGATTAATTAAGTTTGTGGCCTTTGAAGCAACTAAAGTAGAAAATCACTGTTTGACGAGCAAACACATCAGGCAATAAAGTATCGGTTATCTGCTCGACGTGTTAGCCTTTTGTTATTATTGGGCGTTATTAAACTATTTAAATAGGATGCAAACAGAATTTTCAAACATTATACTTATTCAAATTCATAGGAAAAACTATTTGATAAAATAACTCGTACAGAAAATACTTTCGAGAAGTCGTTAATAATCTTCTTGTCGATAGTTAAACATCTACGAAAGAAGATTTATTTCTCAAGAAATCAAATGATAAACGAGCAATTTCTGTTTTTTTTTTTTTTTTTCTTATAATGTGTCGAGTATTCAAAGGAAGAATAAGATACCAACTTTGTGATCAATTTTATTTAAAATTTCGTTACAATTATAGTGTAATTAAATTTTGATCTGTTGTACAATATTTTGTTGCACGAAATTTTTCTCTCTGTTCATAGAAAAATGCCACCCATCTTCGAGAATTTAATAGTTCCGTCGTTTTACGTCAAAGTCGAATTGTTTGTCGTCCGGGAACTCCCGCGAAAGGTGATCAATCTCGAATCACATTGAATCTATTTAAATTGCTCAGTCATGTGGTGACGAATTTTACGGATAATTATGCAGCGTCTGAAAACGAGTCTGAATACATTTGTCTGAAAGACGTCACTGGAATACTGGTTTTACAAGTATTTCTTTAAACTGCAATTTTGTACATTGAATATAACAATAGCAGCAACGAGGAAACTTCAGCCATTTCTACTATACGCGAAACAATAAGTGGAAAGGTCAATATATGCAAAGTAAATTCAAATTCAAATTTATTCCTCATTTATTACAGAGGTGTGCACAGTACTTAGCAATTACGTAGTCAGAAATTTAGCAAGAGGGTTCCACTAAAAATTAGCTGAGATAACTTTATTATAAAAGATGGAGAAAAAATATGTTTAATCTGTGGTACATGAAAGAAAATGTCGACGAGAATATATTTTAAATTTTCTGACCTGACTTCACTTTTTGATTTGAATATTAAATATTAAGAATTTTCTATCGAGAGATGTTTTTAAAAATACCGTAGAAATTCTTAGATACTTATTTTTACACGTGTATACCGCTATTATACACAAAACTACACATTAG